TGGTCTTTACTTGGTGTGAGTAAAAGTGCATTTACTTGGTACAGGTGACTAAATCTCATGAACAAGATGGTCTGTTGTTGCTAGACTGCCTTCCCATAAAGAAAACTAAGGCAGAAGGAAGACTTGGAGAAAAATGAGGATGTACCTTTGTACATCTAACAAAAGCTTGATCCAGATGACCTACTGAGATTCAAATGTCTTTCCTGGCATATTGCCCCTGAGAAGAATTCTGTTCAGTTCTCTTCTGGTGATCTTGTCAGTCTCATGAGTTTTGTGATGAAAAGACATCTAGTGAATACAAAAAGGTCTAGTAATCAAGGGTCGAGGTTGCAGACATGCCTGGTGTTTGTCCACATTGCATGAACAATGTGTTCCAGTATGCAGCATCAACAGTAAGGTAGCAAGTAGAGGAGACCACATAGGCCTCCAGAAATTTCCAGACCTATAGTCCTGAGTCAACAAGGAGATTATGAAAGAGGAGAAGTGGCTATAGAAGGATTGGGGCAAGAGGCAATAAGGGAGCTTGAAAGGGAGGGGCTAGAAGTGGAATCCAGTGTCTCTGTCACATACGGGTCATATGACTTAATGATCAATAAACACTGTACGTTAAATCTACAGGCCTAGCCTATGATTGGTTCCAAACCCACTTGCAAAATGAGAGAATCCAGGAGAAGCAGACATAATTCTGACGAGCCTCAGCTATGAACCTACTCAAGAAGCAATAATGAAGCCCCTGCAAGGAAAAAGATTACTTATATTATAAGCTCATGTTGCAGAAAAGAGACAGGTCAGACCATACCAAGAGTGAGACATTCAAGTACTGACACCACAGAGGACAGACATAGCCTAAGATCAGATGGGTACCAGGAGAGTTGATCCCCATGAATTTATGTCCTTTATCCTGAGGAATAAACTCAGGACAACTCTCAAACCCAGCCTCTGCCTTTTGGAGGTTGAATCAAGGGAGCCTCAATAGGCGCTAATGATGAGGCAGAATGCAGACTCTTTCAATTCATTAAGTCAAAGGATCCAAGATGAATATCAGGCTCTGACCTCTCTTGACTCAATCATTTGTATGCATTCCAATATAAGGAGCATGTATTGAAAAGAACCAAAAGACATACATTAATTATATCCTTAATTTTCAAGACATTGCGAGTGTTGCAATGAAGCCAGATTAGGGAACTCTGCTAGGTATTTAGCAGTTTACCCTGTGGATGTCCTTTAAAGAAGGACAAAATGGTCAACAGATGAGTAAGAAGGCATTTCTAAAACAGTTTCCAAGGGGCCTGGGGAAAGTATCTGCTTATTCTGTATCACCAGGACCACTTTGTAACACCTTCATTTATATGTATATTTGAGTGTACAGAGGAGGTGGTCTTCCATCAGGAAGACTGGGTTTATCATATATTAAAACCCCAAACTGATTACCAACTTTTGGGGGCACTGTGATAGGTAATCTCAAAAGTCAAGATGATAAGGGCCAGATCTCTGGGTCATGGCTGTAGGGCACTATCTTGACAGGATTAACTGAGGAAGTAAACCGTCCACTGTCAGTCGTATTGTTCCTGGGGCTGAGATCCACAACTATATAAGGAGAAGGTGAACAGAGCATAAGCCCTCCTTTGCCTTATTCTTGTTGCCCTGGACCTGTGCCTCAGGCTCCTGGATCTATGGGTTCTCAGCAAATATGCACACCACCCTCATGACAACATGGCAAGACAAGCACTCCTTCTTTGACATGTTTTGGTCATCTGGGAAAGTACCTTAGGCATAAATTCTATGGAGAGCTACTAAGCACAATTGGACATTTGGTAGTGATAAGTGCTGAAAAGCATCAAGTGTTAAAAGTCTACCTTCAAATGTCAGATCCAGAAGAATAGGTAAGCCTGACAGCCTGACAAGACTACCATGATGCCTTTGGAAGATGAAAAGCCCAGAAACCTCCTGCTATTTCCTTGTCCCTACTGTTCTTTCCCACAAGCACAGGGTGTGACACACTACTGCAGGGATCCACTCCACTTGAGACAGTTCAGAAATGCTGTTATCTGTTTCAAATTTTGTCCTAACTCTTAACAATTTTGACAAACACCATGTGTAATCCTGAGACTGTTTACACTCAGTTCATCTACATTAAATGTTTCTGGGAGAAAGCAATAGGGTAACCCACCTATTTCTGCCTGTACCAGGTGAAGTGACAATGACAGAGACAGCAAATTAATAGTATCTACTTAAGAGAATACGGCTAATTCATTCATAGATATTTTTCACATACAGAATGATCTATAATTATGAAACAACCAACGCAATCAAACTGTTGCATTTTGACAGTACCTTCCATTTCACTTTGTAGTCCCTCTATGGAAGCTGAAGCTTGGATTTCAGGTTGTTTAGAAACTTTACGAACAACAGGGCACCTCCAACACATTTGTCTCAATGAATTTGAGCCTGGGAATGCATTCACAACAGCGAAAGTTATGTCAGCTTCATGGCATAGAAAACAGAGGAAATCAACAATGGTTCCGTTTTGTGCATTCTATCTCATGACAATTCTCCAGGCACTGTCCTCAGAGTCACAGTGGTGCCTTAGAAAATTCACTGAGTGCACTGTATACTCCAGAATGCATTACATGTATGGTGTAGTTAAGTTATAAATTCATGTCAACTTGACAACACAAAAAGAACAGAAACATGACTATGTTACATTGGAGTTGTACCTAACAAGCAGAATCAAGTCTCTTTTAAAGTCACACGAACACAGTAAAATTTAAAACTCCCTAACTTCCGTGTGGGTTTCACTAGGATGCTATATACTTGACTCCCTATGAGACTTCTCAGTTCAAAACACATGAATATACAAATATGTATGCATCTATGTATATACATGTAAGCATAGAAACTAAACCTCCTCAAGGAAAAGCACATATATTGCAGAAATGCTCTGTGGTGTCTGCTAAATGGCAGCAGAGTCAATTATATATGAGTGAACCCAGGTAGCATGAGGTTTGTATTGGTTACTCATGGACAGGAGAACTGAGAGTGCACCATACCTGTTCATGCTTACCTTCTCTGTATTATTGTTTTCTTTTCTTTTATCAGAAAAGATCTCTAGTCTAGTCTAGCCTGAAATTCACTATAGAGCAAAGAAAGGCCTTGAACTTGTGTTTCTCCTTCTTCCACTTCTTACAGACAAGGATTAATAGGATTGAACCATCCTGGGTACATTTTAAGCAGAACTAAGAAACTCTGAATCTGCACATGCAAAGCAAGCAATGAGGCAATAGGGCCAAAGCTCCAGCCCATATTAGCAAATAGCTTCCCTTATGCAAACGACAACATTACAAAGTACTGAAAGTAGACACATTATGCAGGATACACTTGAAATAATATACTGAGCCACATGGTTCACTGCTCAGTGTGAACTTCAAAACATGGAGACTGACCACCACTGAGAGGAAAAACTCCTGAAGCATAGAGTTTATCCAACCTTTAAAGGTGTAGTCCCATGGGGAGGGAGATGTGGTATAGTGCATTCCTTTAATAACAGCACTTGTAGGCTTAGACAGGTAGAGCTGTATGATATCCAGGCCATAAAGTTTTATATACAGGTAGTGTTAGTACAGCCACAGATACACAGTGAGACCCTGCTTCAAAAACAAAAACAGAAAACAATACCCTTAATTCCTTAAAGAATAAGATAGCACTGATCAATATCCAAGTGATGACTAGAATCTTAGTTGACACTAAATTGTGTTCCTCTTTGTGTATACTCATAATGCCAACCCACTTAAACTTTTCTCCAGACATTATTAGAATGAGTCATGTCTATGCTAAAGCCAGTTGCGACATATCCAACCCACATTCCCATGTATTGGGTTTCATTATTGGGCTCTGTCACCCAAAAAGAAGTATGTGTGCTTCTCTACCTTTCAAAACTTCTGCCTGCTGAATGACAATAGCTGGACAACACAGTCATGTTTGTATTTGAGATCCCTGTAGATTTTCCTCATTGCAGGCAGATGCTGGGAACTGGAAGTCTTCTATAGGGATTATTGTGCTTTGATGCGGTAAAAGTGGCTCTCGAGATGCACAGCAAAAGAGCTTCATCAATACTTCTGAACTATGCTTTATTCATAGAGATGAGCACAAAACCACATGCCTGACAAAGCATGGCTGTGATGAGGTTTGAGCACATTTTTTAGTTAATCTGTATTCTGATATTTCAATTTAATTCACTGTAATTTGGGTTGGGAAAATGGCATGCATGTTTTTTGGGGGAAAGGTTTAGACACAACTTAAAAGCACAACACACAAAATTAAACAAAAGGGTTCACTGGTGAGCAAAATAAGCAAAGATATATCCATGAGTTTTTACATGGTATATTGTTTCTTCAACTTTTTTGTTTAAAGAAGAAACACTCAACTAAAGCCACAATTCTAATTAATAGCATCTTAGATTATAGTGGTGCATCTTCAAAGCCTTTGGTTTATTCAATGACATGGTGTAATTTCAATCAGTACAGAGAAGAACAGTAAAGAGGAGACTATATTAATGGGTACATTAGTTGATGATGTCACAGAAGATCTGGGACTCTGTACTTTGTGACAAAAACTAGTACCTTTCATACTTTTTCTGATTCAAAGGCATATGAGGCAAACTTGTCTGGCCCTAGAGTGTTACAAAGTCTGCATCACATACCATCCATGAAAACTTGTATTTTTTTCTAAGATGTTTTCTGTTCCTATGGCCTGTGGTTTGGAAATAACTTGAGTATGTGACCCAAAGCTTGATGTGTTATAAGCTTAGTGTGTCCAGGTTGAGGACATTCAGTGTTCAGTTGTCAGATCTTTAAACCTATAGTGTAAACTAGAGGCACCCACCTTGATGGAATCACTAATAAAGCAGGACACAAATTCTCATGTCATTAGGTATCTTAGATCACTGTGGTACATCACACAAAATACAGTGAGTGTTTATACAATTTGTCTCTAAACTGTGTCTTAGGAAAGTGATCCAACAATACATACCAGATCTGTGTTTTTTAGATACCACCTGTAATCAATAGGAAAGAAAATATTTAATGCCATGATCTTGCTGAGTAATGTCTATGACAATGTAATTGTAACCAGGACAGAGAAGAGCAGATGATGTCACAGGAGATCTGGGACTCTATTTTTTGACAAAAACTAGTACCTTTCAAACCTTTTGTGAATCAAAGGCAGATGATGCAACCTGTCTGGCCTCTAGAGGTTGTAAAACCTACATACACCACATACCATCTAGGAAAATTTGCATTTTTTCATAAGATATTTTATATTTCCAGGGCCTGTGGTGTGGAAATAACTTGAGTAAATGACCCAAAGCTTGATGTGTTGGAAGTTTAGTGTGTCCAGCTAGAGGACATTCAGTATTCAGGTTGTCACACCTTTAAACCATGAGGACTAGTGTACATTACAGGCACTCACCTTGACGGAATCACTCATTAAAGAAGGACACAAATTGTGCCACATTGTGATGTATGCTGTCTTGAATCAAGACCAAGTAGGTACAGTTACATTCCCTCCTCCAACTAAATAAACTCTCTAATGCCCATTGATGCCTCATACCAGTTTCATGATTCAAATGTGATACCCACTGAAATATGAGGGGAGCACTGATGTAAACTTTCTGCCTTAGAGAAAGGAAAACAGTCTTACCTTCACCATCCTCACTGTTGGCTGTTGCTGGTCGCTTGGTGAAGTTTCACTGTTAGCAGGGTCAGGGGCCCTAGGGGAACACAAAGTGACTCTCAGTTCCCAGGAATTATTACTATTTACAGGGGATCTTTTCTTGATGGACTCAGTACATATGACTAAACCTAAAGAATATGGTTGGGTTGTTGCCGGACTGTCTTTCAGCAAGAAAACGTAAGGGCAAGAAAAGATCCAAAGAGAAATTAGGAACAATTATTATCCCTTTCTAAGGAATGGGAATCTAAAGCATTGTGAAAGAATCAGTTATATCATGTAAAGGTGAAATAAATGTTTCAAACTTTATTTTTTTACATTTTTTCCACATAGGAGGCTCAACAGTTGACTATGCATCAAGTTGAAGTGAACCTTCTGGTCCTGGTTCTCTCAGGCCACCATGCATTTTCCAGGTTCAATATCTTGTCCTCAGTCTTTGAGCAAGTGCCTTACTGCTGAGTCAACTTGCTGGCCCCATACACCAAATCTTTCCTTTTTCCTTTTTTTTTAAATTTAAATTAGAAACAAGCTTGTTTTACATGTCAATCCCAGTTCCCTTTCCCTCCCCTCCTTCCCTGCTCCCCACTGACTCCCTATCCTATCCCCTTTCTGCTCCCCAAGGAGGGTGAGGCCTTCCATAGGGGATCTTCAAAGACTGTCACATCATTTGGAGCAGGGCCTAGGCCCCCACCCTTGTATGTAGGCAGAGAGAGTATCCCTCTATGTGGAAAGGGCTCCCAAAGTCCATTGATACACTAGGGATAAATACTGATCCACTACTAGAGGCCCCAGATATTGCCCAGGTCTCCTAACTGACACCTATGTTCAGGGTCTCTTGAACAGTCCTATGCAGATTTCCCAGCTATCAGCCTGGGGTCCATGAGTACTCCCTTGTTCAGGTCAGCTGTTTCTGTGGGTTTCTCCAGCCTGGTCTTGACCTCTTTGCTCATCACTCCTCCCTTTCTGCAACTGGATTCCTGGAGTTTGGCTCAGTGTTTAGCTGTGGGTGTCTGCTTCTTCTTCCATCAGCTACGGGATGAAGGCTCTGGGATGGCATACAATCTCATTATAGGGGAAGGGCATTTAAGGTAGCCTCTCCACTATGGCTTAGATTCTTAGTTGGTGCCATCCTTGTAGAACTCTGGACATTCTCCTAGTGCCAGATTTCTCTTTAATCGTATAATGGCTCTTTCAATTATGGTATCTCATTTCTTGTTCTCTTCTTTTCTTCCCTGATTCTATCTTCCTGCTCCCTCATGTCCCCCTCTCCCTCCTTTTCTCCCCTTCTCTTTGTCCTAACTCCCTCTCTCCTCCCCCCATGCTCCCACTTGGCTCAGGAGATCTTGGCCTTTCCCCTACTCTGGAAAACCATGTATATTTCTCCTAGGGTCCTACTTGTTTCCTAGATTCTCTGGCAGTGTGTATTCTAGGCTAGAATCCTTTGCTCTATGTCTAAAATCCATACAAAAGTGAACACAGACTATGTTTGTCTTTTTGTGACTGGGTTACCTCACTCAGAATGGTTTCTTCTCCTTCCATCCATTTGTCTGCAAATTTCAAGATGCCATTGTTTTTTCCACTAGGTAGAACTCCATTGGGTAAATGTACCACATTTTCTCTATCCATTCTTTGGTTGAGGGGCATCTAGGTTGCTTCCAGGTTCTGGCTATTACAAATAATACTCCTATGAACATAGTTGAACAGTGCTCCTTGTTGTATGGATGTGCATCTTTTGGGTAAATGCCTAAGAGTGAAATTGCTGGATCTTGAGGTAGACTGATTCCTATTTTCCTGAGGAACCACCATACTTATTTCCAAAATGGCTGTACTAGTTTGCACTCCCACCAGCAGTGAAGGAGTGTTCCCCTTTCTCCACATCCTATCCAGCATAGACTATCATCTTTGTTTTTTATTTTAGCCATTCTGACAGGAGCAAGATAGTATCTCAGAGGTATTTTGATACCTAAGAATGTAGAGCAGTTTCTTAAGTGTCTTTCAGCCATTTTAGATTCCTCTACTGAGAATTCTCTGGTTCTATTCTCCATTTTTTAATTGGATTATTTGGTGTTTTGGTGACTAGTTTCTTGAGTTCTTTGTATATTTTGGAAATCAGCCCTCTTGTTACATGTGGGGTTGGTGAAGACCTTTTCCCATTCTGTTTTGGCTTGTTGACTGTGTCCTTTGCCTTACTGAAGCTTCTCAGTTTTAGGAGGTCCCATTTATTGTGGATCTCAATGTCTGTTCTACTGGTATTATGTTCAGGTAGCGGTCTCCTTTACCAATTCATTCAAGGGTACTTCCCACTTTCTTTTCTAAGAGGTTCAATGTGGCTGGATTTATGTTGACTTCTTTGATCCATTTGTACTTAAGTTTTGTGCAAGGTGATAGATATGGATCTATCTGCAGTCATCTACACCCTAGCATCCAGTTATGCTAGCACAATTTGTTGAAGATGCTTTCTTTTATCCATTGTATACTTTTAGCTTCTTTGTGAAAAATCAGGTGTACAGAGGTGTGTGGGTTAATACCAGGGTTTTCAATTGGATTGCATTGGTTTACATGTCTATTTTTATGACAATTCCAAGATGTTTTCAGGACTATAACTCCATAATAGAGCTTGAAGTCAGGGATAGTGATGCCTCCAGAAGTTCCTTTATTGTACAGGGTTGTTTTGTCTCTCCTGGGTCTTTTATTTTTCTATATATAGTTAAGCATTGTTCTTTGAAGGTATGTTAAGAATTGTGCCAACATATTTTGATGGGGATTGTACTGAATCTGTAGATTGCTTTTGGCAAGATTGCCATTTTTACTATGTTGGTCCTACCTGTCCAAGAGCATGGGAGATCTTTCTAAAAATCACACAGTCCCTGAGATGATTTTGAGTTAAGGTTATTTGCCACTCTCTTCAGGCTCAGCTGTCCAACAGTAGACGATTATCTATGTCCATGTAGTAAAGGTCTGATCCACCTTTACTAGAGATTCAACTGCCTTTCAAGATTAAAACCTTTTCTAAGAGGGTTCTTTTCTGTTGTCTCCAAGTGATCTTTTGAATCTCATGAACTTTGTATGAGATAGACATTTAAGGATTACAGGAAGACCTAAAACAAGTAGGGATGTGACTGGGGACATTAATGAAAGTTATACCACATTGCATCTAAAATGTCTTCCAGTAGACAGAATCCCCAATAGGTTTTGGTTAGAAGGAACTACATATTCCTCCATGTATGAAAGAGAAGTGGCTGGAGAAACAAAGGGGCAAGAGATAATAAGAAGGGAGACTGAAGGGTGGGGGCTAAAATTGGAATCCTATGCATCTGTCACACATATCTCAGAAGCAGGGAGACATTGAACCTACAGATACAGTCTATGAAAGGAAGTCAAAAAACGCAGAATGAGTTTCTTGTAAAGCCAGGCTGTGAACCTAACAAGGAAGTGACAGTGAAACCACTTAGAAGAGATTCCTTAGATTACACAATCATGTCCCCAGGAAAGATGAGATACACCAGACCATGCCAAGAGGATGGGACTCAAATATGACTGCACAAGGGGCAGACACATCATATAGATACTTGGAGAGCTGATCCCTCATGAATATATCCTTTATTCTGAGGAGTACGGGCAGTATTTTGAGGGAAACACACAAACTCAGTTTCTGCATATTGGAGGATGAAATAAGGATACCTCTAAGGCCTCAAAGATAAGCTAGAGTGTAGACACTTTTTCATCATTAAGGCAAAGGATCCAAGATAGATATCAGCCTATAAACTCTCTTGACTCAGTCACCTAGAATGACAGTTAAAGTTAAGGAGCATTTCTAGTTTTGCAATGAGGTCATACTAGAGAAGCCTGCTAGCTATTTAGCAGACTACCTTGAGGATGCCCCTTAAAGAGGGATTAAATGATCAAAAGTTGACCAAGGAGGCACTACTACAAAGTCCTAATGGACCCAGGGAAATTATTTGCATCTCTAGGAGAAATTTGGAAGACACACACACACACACACACACACACACACACACACACACACTGATCAGTACCTTTTGGCTTTTGGGGGCACTGTGATGATTAACCACAAAAGTCAAGATGATAAGGGCCAGATCTCTAGGCTATGGCAGTAGGGCATTATCTTCACAGAGTTAACTGAGGAAGTAAACCATCCACCGTCAGTGGTACTGTTCCTGGGGCTGAAATCCACAACTATATGAGGAGAAGGTGAGCAGAGCATAAGCCCTCCTTTGCCTTATTCTTGTTGCCCTGGACCTGTGCCTCAGGCTCCTGAACCTGTGTGTTCTCAGCAAATATGCACACCATACTCATGACAGCATGGCAAAATGGATGCTCCTCCTTTGGCATGTTTTGTTCATAGTATTTCAGCACACAAACTGGGAAAGTACCGTAGGCACAAATTCCATGGAGAGCTACTAAGCACATTTGGACATTCGGGAGTAACAAATGCTGAAAAACATTAAGGGTGAAAAGTTTGCCTCCAGCCGGGCAGAATGACAGAGACAGAAGCAAAGAGTACTTAAGTCTGACAACCCAACTAGACTACCATGATGTCTTTGGAAGAGGAAAAGCAATGCAACCTTGTCCCATTTCCTTGACCATACTGACACACTACTCCAGGAAGCCACTGCACTTGAGACAGTCCAGAAATGCTGTTGTCTGTTTCAAATTTTGTCCTAACTCTTGACAACTTTGAAAATCACCATGTCAATCCTGAGACTGCTTATATTTAGTTCATCGCCATTAAAGGTTCTGGGAGAAAGTAATAGAGAGGTGGTTCACCTATTCCTGCCTGCAGCAGGTGAAGTGACAATGACAGAGGGAAAATTGACTTCACCTCTCCTATGTTTATAGTTATTAACGACTGCAACACTTAACGTAAAATTCCTTTTTATTTTTTGGCTGAATTCAACTGAAGAACTATGCAAATTAACATTATCTACATTAGAAACTAATGCTAAGTTCATCATTTTCACCCCCTATAATGCAATAATGATTCACAACTATCATATAACCACAATTGAAATTATTGAATTTCAACAGTACCTTCCATTTCACTTTCTGCTCTTTCTTTGGAAGTACCAGCTTGAACTTGATATTCTTCAGTGAACCGAGGAACAAAAGTGTAATTCCAACAGACTTTTCTCCCCATTATGGACACTGAGAGTACATTAATGGCAGAGTCAGAAATATCAGTTTCATGGCAGAAAATAGAGGAAAGCAGTCTGTTTTTCTACACCCATATCATGACTGTTCTGCAGGTACTGTCATCAGAGTCACAGTGGTGATTACGGAGATCTTTGATTACACTGCTTACTCATGGTGTAGGGAAGTCATAAATCCATGTCAGTGTGATAGTGTTGTATTTCTCTGCTATATATATGTACCTAATGAGTGCTCACATTCAAATCTTAGTGAATGCCCTTTCCTGAGAGGAAGCATTCTGGAGCATAGATTGTACCTGCATTTAAAGATGTATTCTTATTGGGTATATACAGCACTCTATAGGCAGAGGCAGATGAAGTTGTGTGAGTTCCTGGCCAGTGTGGTATATGTGTAGGTAGTTCTAGTACAGACATAGACACACAGTGAGTCCCTGCCTCAAAAACAAAGCAAAACACTGTATTCTCAAAGAATGAGATGGTATAGATCAAGCTCCAGTTGGTGACTGCAGTTCTCAGGGCACACTGCCCCTAAATTGTGTTCCCCTTTGTACCCATGCTGATGTTGTACAATCTGTTATGCTTTTCTTCAGAACATACTGGAATGTATTATGGTTAATAGAATCCAATTTTGGAACTATGCACCCCACTCTCCCATGTCATTAATTTTTAGAATCTGTCACCTAAAAATCGGGATGTGTGCTCTTCTGCCTTTCAAAGAATAGACGATCTGTTGCATGCTGAATGACACTACCTAGAACTTCTACCCACTGCAGCAGTTGCATTTAGGATCCCTATTCATTTGCCTTATTGCAGGCAGATGCAAGAAGGCAGAACTATTTGACAGGATTATTGTGCCCTTAATGGAATAAGTAGTGTCTCTTGAGAGTCATAGTTAAGGTGCCTCATCACTATCTCTGACCTCTGGTGTATTCATTTATGGATGAACACACAAACATATGACTGACTCTATTTAACTGAGATGAGGTTTGAATACATTTTTGTAGGTAACTTGTATTCTGATTTTCAATTTACATATCTGTCACTGAAAATTTGAATGGGTAAATGTTGTGATATTTTTTGGAGGGGGAGATTGAGATAAGAACTGGAGTACAATACCTCAAACTATCAAAGGATTGCTGTTGAATACAAGGAGCATACACATATTTATGATCTCTTACTGGATATATCCCTTTCCTTAAAAACACTAAAAAAAATCTAAAACCAAAATTCTCCTGTCATTAGGTATCTTATATCACAGTGGTTCATCACAGAAAATACAATTGGTGTTCTTACAATTCCTACTTAAAATGTGTCTTAGGAAAGTGATCCAACAATACATACCAAGTGTGCTTTTCCTAGACACCACCTGCATTCAATAGGAAAGAAATATTTAATGCCATGATCTTGCTGAGCAATGTCTACAAAGCCATTTGTTTTTCTACTGACAGTGTAATTGCAGCCAGACAGAGAAGAGCAGTAAAGAGAAGACTATATTAATGGGGACATGATTTTATGATGTCACAGAAGACCTGGGACTCTGTACTTTGTGACAAAAAAAATGTAACTTCCATACTTTTCTGAGTCAAATGCAGATGAGGTAAACCTGCCTGGATTCCAGAGTTGCAAAACCTACATCACATACCAAATGAAAACTTGTATTTTTCTAAGATGTTTTCTGTTTCTAGGGCCCGTGGTTTGGAAATAACATGAGTATATGACCCAAAGTTTGATGTGTTAGAAGCTTAGTGTGTCCAACTTGAGGACGTTCAGTGTTCAGTTGTCAGATCTTTAAACCATAAGTGCATTAAAGGCACCCACCTTGATGGAATCACTCATAAAGCAGGACACAACTTGTGCCACATTGTGATGTATGCTGTCTTGAAGGAAATCAAAGTTGGTAGTTACATTCCTCCTCCAACTAAATAAACTCTCTAATGCCCATGATGACACAGACCAGCTTCATGATTCAAATGTAATATCCTCTGAAACAAGAGGGGAGCACTGATGTTACCTTTCTGCCTTAGAGAAAGGAAAACAGTCTCACCTTCACCATCCTCCTGGTGGCTTTTGCTGGTCGCTTGCTGAAGTTGCACTGTTAGCAGTTTCAGAAGATGCTAGGGACAAAAAAGTGACTCTCAATTCACAGGAATTATTATTATTTATAGGGGATTTTTCCTTGGTATGGATAAAAGCTCATGGTCTTAGTATAGTTTACTAAACCAATTGAACTATATGTTGGGGTTGTTGTTGGACTTCCAAGGAGAGAAATTAAGGCCGAGCGATGATCTGGAAAGAAATGAAGAACATGAACAGATTTTTTTTCCTTCTAAGCAATGGGAATTTATAGCATTGTAAAACAATGTGACATATGGGGTAAAGATAAAATAAATCTTTCCCAAATTTACTTCTTACAATGCTTGTTTGGGAGGTCCAATAGCTGGCTGTGGATCCATCAGATTTAAACCTTTTAAACCCTCTATGCCTGATTCTCTCAGTCCACCATGCATTTTCCAGGTTCAATTTCTTGTCCTCAGTCTTACATCAAGTGCCTTTACTGCTGAGCCATCTCACTGGCCCCATAAAACAAATCTTATGATAAAAATCACACAGTACAATCCAGTCCCTGAGATGATTTTGAGTGCAGGGTAATTGCCACTCTCTTCAGGCTCAGCTGGCCACCAGTAGACAATTACCTATGTCCATGTAGTAAAGGTCTGATCCACCTTTATTAGAGATTCAACTGCCTATGCATACATGCTTTTCTAAGAAAGATTCTTCTATGTTCTCTCCCAGTGATCTTTTCAATCTCATGGGCTATGTGAGAGTGAGCCATCTTGTGATGGAGGAAATGTGTAGACACCCAGGACTAAGGCTGAAGAACATGTATGGGAGTTAGTCCACATTGCCTGGACAATGTCTTCCAGTACACAGAATCACCAATAAGGAAACCAGTGGATTGGACCACACATGCCTCCATGGCATGCCAGACCAAGACACATGGTAATTATGAAAAAGAAGAGGCTGGGGCCAGAGGTACTAGGAAGGGAGACTGAAAGGTGGGGGATAGAAGTGGAATCCTGTGTCAGTCACACACAGTTCAGAATCAGGTCAAAACTGTGAATTCACCCTACAGATAAAGGGTATGAAAAGGAGCCCAAAGCCACCTCAGAATGAGAGAATCCATAGAAGCAGATATACTTCTCATGAGCCTAGTTTGTGAGCCTACTGAGGACATGGCAGTGAAGTCACTGAGAGGACAGAGACTCCTTAGATCAAATTTCATTTCCCTAGGAAAGATGACAAATGTCAGACCATGCCAAGTGGGTGGGACTCAAGTACCGACAGCACAAGGGACAGACACATCCTATGGTTGCCTACACAGCTAATCCCCTCATGTCTATATCCTTTAATCTAAGGAATAGGGGCAGTATTTTACAGAATTCACAAACTCAGTCTCTGTATCTTGGAGGATGAAGTAAGGATGCCTCTAAAAGCATCAAGGATGGGTCTGAGTATAGATCCGTTTCCCCCAATCATCCATTAATTAAAGGGTCCAAGATAGAAATCAGCCTGTAACCTGCCTTGACTCAGTCACCCAGTATGCCAGTTAAAGTTAAGGAGCATAGACTGCTAAAAGCTGAAGACACAGATGAAGCCTTTACTTTTCACGACATCGATAGCTTTGCAATGGGGTCATACCAGAGTAACCTACTATTTATTTATCAGTCTGTGAATGTCCTTTAACGAGGGACTAAATGGTCAGTAGAGGAACAATTAGGCACTACTACAATATCCCACTGGACCTAGGGAAAGTATCTGCTTATTCTGCACCACTAGGAGGACTTTGTAAGATCTTTAGTTATATATTTATATTTTAGTGCACAGGAAGAGGTGGTCTCTTCCACCAGAAAGACTGGGTTTATCATAGATTGAAACACCAAACTGATCACTACCTTTTGGGGACACTGTGATGGTACAAATGTCAAGATGATAAGGGCTTGACCTCTGGGCCATGGCAGTAGAGCATTATCTTGACAGGGTTAACTGAGAAGTGGTATTGTGCCTGGGGCTGAGATCCACAACTGTAAAGGGAGAAGGTGAGCAGAGCATAAGCCCTCCTTTGCCTTATTCATGTTGCATTGAACCTGTGCCTCAGGCTCCTGGATCTATGGGTTCTCCAGCAAATATGCACACCACACTCATGATAGCATGACAAAATGATCACTCCACCTTTGGCATGTTTTAGCTCAGTATTTCAGCCAACAAACTGGGCAAGGCTTAAATTCCATGGAGAGCTACTTAGCATAATTAGACATTTGGTACTGACAAATGCTAAAAGCATTAAGTGTTATAAGTCTGCCTTCAAATGACAAAGCCAGAAGCAAAGAGTACTTAAGCTTGACCATATAACTAGATTACCATGATGCCTTTGGAAGAGAAAAAGCAATGTAATCTTGTGCCATTTCCTTGTTGGTACTGTTCTTTCCCATAAGCACAGGGTGTGACACACACTACTCCAGGGAGCCACTCCACTTGGGACAGTCCAGAAATGCTGTTGTCTGTTTCAAATTTTGTCCTAATAGTTTCCAATTTTGAAAATTACCATGTCAATCTTGAGACTGCTTATACTCAGTTCATGTACACTAAAGGTTTCTGGGAGAAAGTAATAGAAAGGTAGTTCACCTTTTCCTGCTTTTACCAGGTGAAGTGACAATGACAGAGAGAAGATTGACTTCACCTCTCCTACGTTTATTGTTACTTAATGACTGCAACATCGGTCTATATTCAGTTCATTCACATTAAAGGTTTGTTGGAGAAAGTAATAGGGTGGCTTACCTATTCCTGTCTGTACTAAGTAAGCTAACAGTTTGAGTTCATCTTTGCCCTGCTTTTTGTCGCTCAATGACTGGAAAAGGTGAAGTTAATATTCATTCTTAAATTGTGTGGTTGAATTTCAACTGATGAACTATGCAAATTAACATTATCTAAATAGAAAATAATTCTAAGGTTGTCATCTCCCCCCCTTAGTGTACAATAATTTCCTGCAACTGCTATATAGCTCCCAATGAAGTTATTGCCTTTCAACACTTCCTTCTGTTGCACTTTGTGGTCTTTCTATGGAAGTGCCAGCTTGGACTTGAGATCCTTAATCAACCTCTTCAATAGCAGCATGCTTCTGGTGGTGTCTATCCAAGATATTGGACACTGGTAATGTATTAACAGCAAACAGTTTTGTTAACTTCATTCCAGGAAAACAGAGGAAACCAGTAATGTTCTTTTTGTACATTCTATCTCATGACCATATTCAAGCACTGTCATCAGAGTCACAGTGGTGTTTCACAAAAATCACTGAATGCACTGCATACTTCAGCATGTATTACACTGATGATATAGGCAATCCATAAATTTATGTCACTGTGACAGTGTTAGAGAAGACCCACTTTACTGTGTTAAACTGACTTTGTACCTGATTAGCAGCATCCAAATCTCTCTTAGAGTCACATAAACAGCAAAATTAATAAACTCCCTCATTTCTCTGTGGTCTTAACTAGAATGCTATATATTATGAGACCTCTCAGTCCAAAATATAGATATACAAGTATATATTAATCCATTCATATACCCATCCATCCACACACACACACATGTACACACACACACATGCATGTGCATATACACACATATTATTTATTATTTATTAAACCTTGACCGAAGATTTGAAAGAAAAGTTAGCCTCAAGACATAGAGATAAGTCAGTGGTGGTTCACACCTTTAATCCTAGCACTCAAGAGACAAAGGCAGATAGGTCTTTCTGAATCCAAGGCCACCCAGGGATACCTGAGATTAAATCAGTTTAAAAGAGTAACAGAACTGGTGCCTTCAATCCCAACAATGGCGTGATATAAAAGATAAGAGAGTCTTCAGTAGACTCACTCTCAGGATTCCCCAGCCATGTTAACGAGAGTATAGCAGTCTGGGATTGCAGTGTGAGCTTTGGTGGAGCCAGGATAGTCCTTCAGTCTGAGGTAGAGGCAAGAGTTAGTGGCTGACTGCTTTGCTTTTCTGATCTTCAGCTTGAAGCTTGAACCCCAATATCTGTCTCTGGGTCATTTATTTATTGTGCTACAGACATACACTATGGAATTGCACTGTGGTATCTGCTAAATGGCATAAGAGTCAGCTACATATAAGTGAATCCAGGTAGCATGAGGTTTGTGTTGGTATCTCACATAACCAAGAGTAGAGAATGTATTTATTTTCATTCTTTACATTCACTCTAAGAAGTCATAGGAGGACCCTAGCTTAACAGAAATTTGAGGTCTTCCTTCAGTGTTTTCAACCTTCTTGGTGCCTCTCAGTGAATGATTCACTGATTAGAGGACCACATTGAGAGGTCTAGACATGCTCAGATTCAAAGTCACTCAAAACCAAGTTGTCAAATGATGGTTAAGATGAAAAGAAACTTCCCTTCAACTAGCCAAGCATGGGTATGTTCTCATCATACACTGAGAAGAACAGCAGCCAGATGCATTAGTAATATAATAAACAGTGCCTGTACACATCACTTTCCTGGTGACATCCTCATTGACTATCTGTACAGCCTTGTTTAATTCTAGCTAAGAGAGTGCACCATACATGTCCATGCCTTCCTCACCAAACTCCTACCTTCTCTATACTGCTATGTTTTCATATTTCAGAAAGTATCTCCATTCTAGTCTAGCCTGAAATTTACTCTACAGCAAAGAAGGACTTTGAACTCATATTTCTCCTTCTTCCACTTTTCAATGACAAGGATTAATAGGACTTAACCATCCTGGGTACATTTTAAACAGAACTAAGAAACTCTGGGTCCTGGACATGCTAAGCATGCACTGAGGCAACTGGACCAAAACCTCCAGTCCATATTAGCATACTTGCTTCCCTTAATCTAAATACAATACACCAAAGTACTGAAAGTATCGTTGCACTCCATATAAAATACTTTTGAAATGATGTTACTGAGTCTTATGTGGTTCACTGCTGAGCATATGTATCTGAGTGGTCATGCTGAAAATATGGGGACCAAATACCACTGAGAAGAAAACTCCTGAAGCATAGAGGGTACAATATTTTTAGAGGTATAGTCCCACTGGGTGTGGTAGGCAACTCCTGTTATAATAGTAGTCTGTAGGCAGAGGCAGGAGGAATTGTGTGAGTTCCAAGTCAGAAAGGTATATACAGAGATAGTCCTGGAAGAAACATGGATACACAGTGAGACCCTGTCTCAAACAAGTAAGCAAGCAAGCACGCAAGCAAACAAGCAAACAAAGAACACCATAGCAACAACCAAAACCAAAACCCTATATTGTCCAGAAAGTCAGATAGCACAGATCAACATCCAGGTAGAGACTGGAGTTCTTAGTGGACACAGTGCCTAAATTGTGTTGGTTTTTGTGCCCATACAAATGTTGTTAAATGACTTAAAACTTTTCAGGTTTTACTGGAAGGAGCCAACCAAGTCTAGCTCAAATCTAGTTCACAACCAACGTATGTCAATGTAGCACACAGTCTCTGACCTGCACCACATTGTGGGCTGTTTTCTTTCCTACTTGCTTATGTCTGCAGGCAGGTGAATTGCATTGTCCCAGCCTTCTGAATACTGTGGGAGGTTTGGCAGTCTTGGGGCATTCCTGTCACTTTGATTTATTGCAGCCAGATGTTGGAAATCTGGACACTCTTCTGTAGAGATTATTGTGCCCCTGATGGTGTTAAATGCAGTGGCTGTACTGCATGTGTAAAGACCCTCATCACTTATTCTGAGCCTTGGTTAATTCACTTGCTTAGGAAAACACAAATCAAACTACTACATATGGCTGTGGTGAGCTTCAAATACACTATTATAGGTAAGTTGCAAATATTAATTTTATTCATAAGTTAAAAAAAAGTTTCCCAGAACAAGGACAGAGTCTGGGATGGGTCCTCCATAGCTGACAAAGTAGCTCTAATCCTGATTTTTTTTCTCAGCAGTTTCCCTGGGAATTGGGTTAGTGATATGGATATCTGTCTAGCTAAAATAAGTTTAGACACAA